CTTCGGGATAACGGGTGGTGGCACACATTAATGTCAAAAGGTAACTAATACCTGAACGGGTTTTGGGTAATGGACCCACACAATCAATAAAGATATGTTCGAATGGTTCCCCAATCGCTGGGACTGGGTGCAGGGGAGCTGGGGGAATCGTTTGATTGGGCTTTCCAATTAACTGGCAAGTGTGGCAGGAATGACAATATTTCTTTACGTCCGAATTTATCCCTGGCCAATAAAAACACTTCATTATGTGGGCGAGCGTCTTCCTAACCCCTAGGTGACCTAAGCACGGGTGGTCGTGAGCTAAGGCTAATACTTGGTGTCTAAGGGAACACGGAACAACAACCTGAATCACCGTAGCCCATTCCTTGGGAGATTGAGGAGGTGTCCTCAGGGAGGTGTCCACACATAATATCTGCTCTATGGAAATGCACTCCCATAGCCACTAGGGGAGCTCTCACCTTCTTCCAGTCCGGCTAAATTATGTTGCAATTCATTCCACTTGAAAAGTTACAACTTAAACAGAGTCAGTATAAGTGTGTGGCTCAGTAGCCTAAGTATTTGGTTTTGTAATCCACAGGTTGCTGGTTCAAATCCAGCTTTAGCTGGACAACTGCATGTTTATGGACCCTTGAGCCACGTTTATTAAACAAACAATTCTGCATTGGCAGAATGAAAATAAACTATTAGTTAAGAAATATTCCTTGGAACAACAAACTGTGGAAAACTGAATTTACAGTATTTTCCTTGAGACTTGAAGGAAGAGTCCGTTAACAGAAATTGACGGATTTTTTTTTACAGTGAAATAAAAGATCATTTCACGTATAAAGCTTCCACATAAAGAGCCCTCTTTGTTTGTATAGCAGGTTAGGCTGCTGTCAGTTATTGGAAGGCATAGTGAATGTTAGTGGAAATGTCCCTTTTGTGTTTTTTACTACATCACTACCTTCAGTCATTATAAAATCTGGGTTCAGAATATCAAAAAACAAATCTAGCCAAGTTATTAATCAATGATGAGGAAGAAATTGTATGCTTGATATATTTCAAACAATGCTAATGTATTACTGCCAGACAATACATGTTTTTACATCTTCACATCACTTACAGAGCTGTCTTAGATGTCTTGATCACTGGTAGCAGCCTCCAGTGCTCATTATCTGATCTGAAGAATTTCTTTAGATCAAACACATCCAGCTCCTCATCTGACATCAGTAACACAAAGGCCAGAGCTGAATACTGTGCAGATGAGAGGTCTTCTTCTGAAAGACTTCCTGAATTCAGGTATCTTTGTACCTCCTCTACTAGAGAAATGTCACCCAGTTCATTCAGACAGTGGAAGAGGTTGATGGTCCTTTCTGGAGATAAATTCTCCTTTATTTTCCCCTTGATGTATTGGGCTATTTTCCCAGTGTTATGTAAGTTGTATCTTGTCGGTCCCAGTAGCCGTTCTAACAGAATCTTACTGGAGTCTGTTGAAAGGCCCAGGAGGAAGCAGAGGTAGAGGTCCAAGTGTCCATTCTTGCTCTCTAATGCCTGATCTACTGCAGTCTTCAGTAGGTTAGCTGATGTATTTGATAGAAAGATGTATAAAGCAGCGAGATACTCCTGGATGCTCAGATGCACAAAGCAGTACATTTTTTTCTGATACAACCCATACTCCTCTTGAAAAACTTCTGTGCACATTCCAGAGTAAACTGAAGCTTTTCTGATGCTAAGGTCACTCTGTTCCAGATCTTTCTCATAAAATCTGAGATTGCCTTTCTTAAGGTTATGAAAAGCCAGTTTACCAAGTTTTAGAAGGAAGCATCCAAGATCGTTAGTTTCATTGTTTTTCATCCATCCATCCAGTTTTCTGTACCAGCTTGTCTTATTCTGGGTCGCAGCAGTCTGGAGCCAATACTTGTCTTTAATTGATCTTGTCTGAATGATCAGGAAGTGTATGTACATTTCAGTCAGAGTCCTTGGAATTTCTCCACTGTTAGTTTCACTAAAAAGTTTCTCAAGGACAGTGGCTGAAATACAGCAGAACAGAGGAATGTGGCACATGATGAAGAGGCTCCTTGATGATTTCACATGTTTGATAATTCTTTCAGACAGGCTCTCATCATTAAATCTCTTCCTTAAATACTCCTCCTTCTGGGCATCACTGAACCCTCGTATCTCTGTCACCTGGTTGATGTACTTAGGAGGTATCTGATCGGTTGCTGCTGGCCGGGAGGTTATCCAGAGGAGAGCAGATGGAAGCAGATTCCCCTTAATGAGGTGAGTCAATAGCACATCCAATGATGTTTTCTTTGTTACATCATAAAAGCTCTTACCTTTATTAAAATTTAGAGAAAAGCGACACTCATCTAGACCATCAAAGATGAACAAAACTTTGCAACTAAACAGCTCAGTAGATTCAAATGACATCAGTTCTGGATCAAAGTTGTGAAGCAGTTCAATCAGACTGAATTCACCCTCAAGCAAATTCAGGTCTCGGAATGGAAGAGCAAATATGACGTGAATGTCCTGGTTTGCTTTTCCTTCTGCCCAGTCTAGAATAAATTTCTGCACAGAGACTGTTTTCCCGATACCTGCAACCCCTGTAGTGAGTACAGTTCTGATAGGTGTCTCACGCCCACATAAGGGTTTAAATATATCATTGCACTTGACTGTAGTATCTTCTGTTCGCCTTTTCGTGGATGCTGTTTCAATTTGTCTCATTTCATGTTCATCATTGACTCCTGCAGTTCCACCTTTTGTTATGTAGAGTTCTGTGTAAATCTCTTTGAGAAGTGTTGACTGTCCTTCCTTAGCTTTCCCTTCAAATACAGACTCAAATTTCTTCTTCAGGTTACATTTTATCCCTGAAGAAATATGGGAGGAAAATGCACAATCTCTCAATAGGATCTTGACCAGTATGAGAAGAAGAATATAAACACACACACAAACAGACACACACGTTTTTCACTATTTCACTGTGATGAATGATACTTTAAGTTTCACATCATACTCATTTATTTGTGAAACACCACATACATGTAGATAGCATAAATCTCTTACTTTTCTCCAATATGTTACCCAGCTCACTTCCTATTTGGTTACCTGAAATAAGAAAGAATTTCAAATTCATTTCTATCTTCAACATCAGTCTGTAACAAACTGTTCATCATTTCCCATATAATGCTACAGTTGCAATCAGAAATATTCAACCCCCCCAAAATTTTAAGGGTTTATCAATTAAATTTCTGCCAAAAGGCAAGATTCTGCTTTGGATGACATCATTATGAGTTCAATGACACATAAAATCAACACAGAAAATGAATGATGTAGTATTTGTGTGTAAAAGTATATTTTGTTAAGACAGCCATGTCTCAATTATTCAACCCTATACAATATTGTTGTTTTATAAAGCTTTCTGCAGGTTTTTATGGCTCACAGTGGAGTTGAAACATAATTAAACATTTGGGAACTCTATAATGATCCTTCATTTGCTTCAGCTGTGATGCATATATAAACCTCACCCATGAAGGTATTCAAGGTGAGTTTTTTCTGAAACACCACATACATGTAGATAATAGCATACAGCTCTTACTTTTCTCTGATACGTCACCCAGCTCACTTCCTGCTTGGGTACCTGAAATAAAAAAAAATTTCAAATTCATTTCAATCTTCAAACTCAGTATTTAACAAACTTTCCATCATTTCCCATGTAATGCTTTTAATTCAAGGTGAGTTGCAATAATGGGAAAGACAATGGAGCTTCCACAAAAGCTGACAGAGTTGATTATTTCATCACACCTGAAGGGCCTTGGGTATAAGAAGATTTCCGAAATATTTAACATTCCAAGAGATATCATTGGGACCATTATAAGGAACTTTAAAACTTATGGAACAGCTGCAAAGCTGCCTGGCCATTGAAGAAAGCCCAAAATTTCATCAAGGGCCCTTAGCAACTTAATCAGGACAACTAAGAGAAACCCCTGTGTGACTGCAAGACACCTACAGGATGACCTGATGAAGGCTGGTACAAGTGCTTCAGTGGCAACTATAAGACGTGCACTGAATAAACAAGGACTTCATGGCCAGACTCCAAGATGCACTCCACTCTTGGGCTCAAGGAATGTCAAAAGTCGACTTGAGTATGCCAGGAAGAATTTGGATAAGACTCCAGAGTTTTGAGAGACAGTCCTATGGACTGATGAAACCAAACTGGAACTGTTTGGACATATGGACCAGTGGTATGTCTGGCGTGCAAAAGGCCAGGCTTTTGACCAGAAGAATACCATCCCCATGGTCAAGCATGGAGGTGCGTCATTGATGATTTGGGGTTGTTTTTCTGCGGCAGGAACTGAGAATCTTGATCGTGTACCTGGCATCATGGATTCCCAGAAATACCAGGGCATTTTAAAGAGAAATGTGATGCCTTCTGTTGACAAATTGCACCTTGGTGATCATTGGACTTTCCAGCAAGACAATGATTAGGATCACCCCTCCACATCTCCAAACCAACCAAAGCTTGGTTGAGAAAAAGATCCTGGAAAATCCTTGAGTGGCCTTCTCAGTCACCAGATTTCAATCCGACTGAAAATCTTTGGTGGGATTTAAAGAAGGCAGTTGCAGCGCAGAGGCCATCAAACATCACTGAGCTAGAGGCCTTCGCACATGAAGAATGGACAAAAATTCCGATGGAGAGGTGTAAGAAGCTTGTCAACACTTACCGAAAAGTTTGTTAGAAGCTAAAGGATGCTCCACAAAGTACTGAAGCTGGGGCTTGAATGTGTGAAAAGTTAACTTTGAAGATCAAATGAAAAATGTAAGTCAACTTCTGTTTGTCAAATTAACTCAGATATATATCAATAAATGTTTTTTTGTTGTTTAATGAGTTTTTTTTGTCATTATCTTTAATCTACATTACTATCATGTCTTTTGAGGTGAAGGGGTTGAATATTTCTGATTGCTGTATACAGGAACTGTATGTAATATATGCATTTAAGAGATTACATATCTTATTCTGTGCAACATGAGTTCCTCTGAGAAAATATGAGAGGAAAATGCACAATATCTCAACAGGATCCTGAACAATATGTATATAAGGAAGAATATAAACACACACAGACAGAGAGAGAGACACTATTCACATCATACCCATTTTTTTCTGAAACACCACATACATGTAGATAATAGCATACAACTCTTACTTTTCTCTGATACGTCACCCAGCTCACTTCCTGCTTGGGTACCTGAAATAAGAAAGAATTTCAAATTCATTTCTATATTCAACATCAGTATTTAACAAACTTTTCATCATTTCCCATATAATGCTTTTAATATATATATTTTTAATAGCTAAAACAGTTACATTTTATATGAAAAACAATAACGGTTAAAAATATGATTACACTTCTGCAGGTCTTCCTTCAGTCTCTCAGCAAGGTCATTCAGGGTCATATTCTTCAGGATATCTAATGTGACTTCAAGAGCACCAACTTCCATGTATGAACTTATCATCCAGTCGGCGAGGTCTGTTCTATCCAAGTTCTTCACCTGACCCCTGGGAAGGGGCTTTAACTCTTTATACTTTGTGTGACTCAGTTTCCATTTAAACTTCTTCAGCTCTTCATCATTGAGCTCCTCCAGATAATCCAGCAAGAGGTCGGCGAGCGATTTCTGAGTGTGCAGAATGTGGGAGATGAGTCCATGAGACTCACAGAGCTGTTTATGGTCACTCACACACATGCACTGAACTTTCCATTAACAGAAGTCAGTTTTCCTGCTCACAGTCTTATGTGGCTACTGAAGACACCTGCTATGATTTTTTTCATTACTATAGGAGACACACATGTGTTTATTTCTGCATTATTATTTAACCTTTATTTAACCTTGTGAATCTCACTGATTTAAAAGATCTCTTTTAAAAGAAAATCCTGTCCAGTATAAGCAGTTTAAATTTAAGTGCCAATCAATAGAGCACATAAAAACAACAGGAACAAAATATACTACAAACACCATGCTAAGACTTCATCCAATATAATTATACATATTTTTGATTAAGTTATTCTGTTACAGTCCGTCTGTGACATTTGGTATAGGGTGATACGGTACGGAAGTAGCCTGGGGAAGAGCACTGCGGAGAGGGAGCTTTTTGTCTGCTATTTTCAGCAACCTTCAGCTGAAAATAGTTGCTCAACTTAAGCTTTCCTGCCTTTCAGTGTCTGGTATTTATGGACAAAATGCATCAAATGCTGAAATGTTACAGCCAAACCTCTCGGTGAGCCATTGCATAGATGTTTATGGCTGTAAAGAAAGCAGTTCCTGTGTATCGCAGTCTGACTGTGAAATACAAAAGCAAAAAAAATGTTAGCTTTATATTCAAAGGTCAGTTTACAAGCTGTAATATCTTACAACCAAAGCAAACTGGTCTATTTTTACTTACAAAAGGTAAAGCCATTACATTACATGTTCGTTCACTATTCAATGGGTACTTTGGAAATGAAACCATATGCTTTTCTATCAATGTACTCAGTGCTTGAAGTGGGTCAGTACTCACAGGTATGCAGTACCAGCACCTCTTTGTTTTTCTCTTCAGAGTACTGGTACCGCACAATATCTGCTGAGAGTAGTGGCACCTGAGACTGAATAACAATAGAAAAGAATAGCTTTATTGTCATTGTATATATAATACACAACAAAACTAGCCATGCTGCTCCTATTCAATGCAATAAAGAATCAGAAAAACACAAACAAATAAATATTTGTCTGTGTAAACATATGTAAAAAACAGCCAACTAACGGAGGCACGTAGCAAAAATCAATCCTTGGGAAGAATAAGATGAATGGAAATGGATTAGTATTACTAAACTGGTTTTTGTAATCACTAAAGACGAATATTGCAAACGGAAAATTTTTTGTTGTTGTTTAGTGATCTTATGGCCCAAGAAAAGAAACTGTCCTGTTTTGATGGACTTGTAGCACCTACCAGAGGGCAGCAGGTCAAACAAGTGGCGTGTGGAACGGGCAAAGTCTCTGAGGATGTCAGGATGCATTTGATGGCAGAGCGATCAAAGGCCACAAGCAGCTTCTGATCTAGACTGTTTTTCCTGAGTACTCTCAGAAAATGGAGTAGCTGCTGTGCCTTCTTAGCAAGTGTCAACAACCCGCCATGGTTGCTGTCTGTGAAGTGGTCCTCTATTTTCAGTTTATGTGTTGTCTTGGCAGCTTTGATGCCCTTCCTCAGGTCAGCTCTGGCTGTGCAGTACTGATTTGGAAAAACCTGGGCAGGTTTGTTGACAGTGACATTGTCATCACGGCATGCAATGTAGAACAGCACAGTTTGTGTGTACTGCTCTAAGTCCTGGGGGGTACTCCATGAAAGTAGATAAAGCAAGCCAGACTTTCCCAAAAAAGTCAAACTCAAACTAGCACCATCTCTAAACTGAGCCTCATGTCGTTCCACTAATGCAGTTCAGCTTTAACTAATCAAGGCTCATACAAGACGTGCTTGCATAGTCTCACTTAGTGCGCACACCCGAGATATTTAAGATGCCCACATGAATGGATGAATGACAGATCGATCAAATGAGTTGGAAAGCATGTAAAATGAGAGCGGTATTTTTTTCTGCCGCAGGACATATGCTGCTGATGGAGCTGTATGAAAAATACAAAGATGTAATCGGTAAAAAAGGCAATACTGCGGCCATAAACACAGCCAGGGAGTTGGCTTGGCAAAGAATTGCAGACAGAATAAATGCATAAGTTACGTAAATGTTACAATTTTCCCTGTTTTATCATTTTCCCCAAAATGCAACAGGTGACCTGTCCTGAAGGCAGTGTCGCGTTTCCTGATGAGTGAGTGAACTTCTCTCATTATCCAGGGTTTCTGATTTGGAAAATCTTGGACGAGTTTGTTGACAGTGACATTGTCAGCACAGCTTGCAATGTAGAACAGCAGAGTTTGTGTGTACTGCTCTAAGTCCTGATATTCAAATAGACTCCATTCGTGTGTGGCTGGGAAATGGTGCTCTCTGGCCAAGTCTTAATTTCTTCCTGAGGGAGATATAGGCTGGTATGAGGAGAAGAGGAAGGTGGTCTGACTGGCCTAAATGTGGTAAAGGCATAGTTTTCTAGGTATGCTTGATCTTAGAATAAACACTGTCAAGTGTGTTTTGCCCCCTAATGGCACAGTTCATGTACTGAGTGAATTTGGGGAGTACAGTCTTTAGGCATGCCTGATTTAAGTCAGCAGCTATGACATTAATTCCATCAGGATGAGCCCGCTGCTGCTTGTTTATAATACTGTATAGTTGGTTCAGGGAAGTGCAAACATTGGCATCCAGAGGGATGTAAACAGCCGTGACAATTACTACGGTTAGCTCTCTCAGTAAATAATACGGTCTGTACATGACTGACAGAGCCTCCATATCAGGAGAACAGTGACTGTCTGTGGTTTGGCTGTGTGAAAAGTGAAAGGCGACAAGGGGAGTACTGGCACCTGATTCTGAATAACAAGGGGAGCACCAGCACATGGTACTGAATACCAAGAGGAGTACCTGCAACATAGTATTGAATAACAAGGGGAGTACTTGCACGTAGTACTGAATAACAAGGGAAGTACCAGTACCTGGTACTGAATAAGAAGGGGAGTACCTGCACTTAGTACTGAACAACAAGGAGAGTACCTGCACTTAGTACTGAACAACAAGGAGAGTACCTGCACGTAGTGCTGAATAACAAGGGGTGTATCGGCACCTATTTTTCCCCACTTCTAGCACTGAATGCATTTGACTGCACCAAAGGTTGGAATAACTCACAGGCAAACTTTCGTGAATGTTAACCAGCCTTTAAAATACAGAGCCGTGGCTGGGAGAAAAATTCAGTGACTGGTCAAGAACCAGCAGAAGACCACACATGCCGTGGTGCAGACAACATAAAACATGAACCTGTACCATAAACCATCTAACAGATCATTGCACTGTAAAAAATATTTCCTCCTTCTGATGAAACATTCTTAAGTATCTGATTAAAATAGCACTTTTGAGTTTGCCCAGCATTTTAATGACTAATTGTAGTAATTAGATTTGAATTAGAAGGAAATGCTGTACTTTTTGGCTGACAAATAAAGTCAAATTGGCCCAACTAAAATCAACTAATGCAGCCAACAACAGTTAATGGATGAAATATTAATTACACAGTTAATTCAACAACATGTAATTGTCATACATAAAACAATTATGTTGGACAGACAAGTAAGTTTAGCAAATGTAAAACTTCTTATTCAGCCAATTAGCCAACTGATGTTGGGCAAACTCAAAAGGAGTAATATAATCAGTACTCTTTCTTCACAAAAAACAAAGCGTTTTAATATTTAGAAATTCAAAGCGATCGAGGATGGTATACCACAGAAATCAATCTCTACACATTTGAATATTAGTTGTTTTTCAGGGTTGTTTTTCCGTCAGTGCCTGCTGCTCCGGTTCCGCTCGAGGTTCCTCTACTTCCACCTCCTGCTTCACCCGTCCTTATAACTCCCGTGACACCAGTCCCCGAGGAGGTCCTGGACTGTCGGACCACTGCTCCTTCCCCCTTGGAGGAGGAGCTTGATGGCACAACTGGACCCCTCTAGGGGACTGACCCCTCCACCTTCGCCCCAGTGCAATGGATCCCGGCCAGGTCTCCGCCTGTTGGTGTCCCAAAAGGGGAGAGGACACCTATGCAATGGGTCGGGTCCCGCCCACCCTGCCACCTGGCTTGTCTTGGCTGGGGCTCGGGGGGCGCCTGCGTGTCTATTGGCTCCTTCTCAGCGGTCGCCTGCGAGTCCCTCTCCAACGCCTCGTCGGCCGTCCTCAGTCCCGCCTCCGACAATTCGTCGGTCACCTGCAGGTTCCCCGGCTTCGACTCCTCGGTTGCCTGCAGGTCCCCCTCCTCTGACTTGTCGCTCGGCTGCGCCTTCACCCGGCTGTGGCTGCGCCGTCGCCTGCCGCAGCTCTACCCTCTTCCTCGCCTGCGTCGGACTCCCCTCCAACTTCCTCCTCGCCTCCCCTGGTGCCCCCTCCGACTTCCTTCTCGACTCCTCCGCCTGTCCCTCGGCCTATCTCCTCACCCCCTTTGTGGTCCCCTCCTGCCCCTGCCTCCCTGTCGCCTGCAGCCCCTCCGGCTGCCACCCGTTGCCCACTGTGGCTCCCTCGGGCTCCCCATTGTCCCTTGACCTTTCCCGTCTGGCCTCCCATGTTTGCTCCTCATCCCTCTGTCCCTCCTGTCTCGACTCCTTGTCCCCCTGTGGTTCTTCCATTCACTCCCGATCCTTTTATCCCTCCCGTTGATGTTTCCCCTGTGTCTCCCTTCCTGGTCTGCTTGTCAGCGTTTCCCGTCTTATGTCAGGTGTTGTCCTGGCTTTTGTCCTTGTGCGTGTTTTGTGTTTCGGTTCTGTTCGTTATGCCCTGGTGATGCTTTTGTCTTGTATTTCAGGTCCTGTTTTCCCGGTCTCATCCTGTCTGCCACTCCGCTTGGGGCACGCCCAGAGTGCATGCCTTGGGGTGGGGTGGGCTCTGTCATGACCTGCGCACCCAGTCTTCATGTGTGCCACACCCACCTCATTTCCCGCATGTGAATTCCCTACGTACCAGCTGTCTTGCGTTTATTCCGATGTCATGTTCTGTATTTAAGTCCACGTTCAAGTCTGTTTCCCTAGGTCTGTCATAGACGTTGTCATCGTGTTGTTCTGCCTGCAATAAACCCCCTTGTTTTTAGATATCTGTGTGCTTGACCCTGCTTCCCCGCCTTCTGTTCGCTTGCCCTGCACACAGTCATCACAATTTGAAACACACACATGTGTTTATTTACCCAGAGGACTGTAAAATCAGTAGTGTCATTAGCGCAAAAATAAAATCACTTCAAAGAAAAATTGCATAGGTTATAATGCAACCAGGCCTGCTCTCTCTGAATATTGAAATGAAAATAAATATTTGTAATATTTTTATTCGCTATTGTTCGCTGTTAAATGTTTCACCTGAAATTGTCAAATAAGTTCAAAGGAAACGACCAATAATGGTATCAGGGATATATAACCATTATCAAGAGAAAAAATTCCAAACATTGAAAACATACTTCTCAACGGCTATCAGTAGCAGGAAGTGCAACCATTCTATTTTAGCATTTTCAACATCAAAATAATTACCCCAAGGCTACAATTCTATTAGTGTATAGAGCCAAAAATCAACTCTCCTTTCTTTCAGGTGATTTCATGTTCGTTTAAGTTTCCCCTTTTTAACAACTATATAACGTAATGTTATTTGTTATATAAATCAACTCATGTGAAACTCATGAAAAGATATAATAAAATATTTACAAAAATATGAGGGGTGTACTCACTTTTGTGAGATACTGTATATTTCCTTCCAACAGGCACCAGGATACAAGGACGGTGGTAGAGCAATGAGGATAGAGCTCTGACACATTTTGCATGAGAATCAATGATGGATTACGGTTTTGTAAGGGCTGATTTTAAACTAATTTGTATGTTTTTAGCATGGTTCAAATATGTGAAATGCTCCATTTGCAATAAGTGTGAAACATTAAACATAATGCATCTCTAATGTAACAGTGCAGTCAGGTGTATTGAAAAATATTACCATTTAGTTTTATTTAATATGTGTAAAAAATTGTTTCATATTTATATACTGACAGGAGACTGTGAGACATTTGTAAAATTTATATATCCATTAAAAAACAGAAAAATTACAAAAAATTCCAGATTTCATGAATAATTCATATCACCTGATTCAAATCCAGAGAGGCAAGGTACGATCTAAGTGGGGCCACACTGCTTTCTCATTATGACAGAAACTGTCAGACACTTTGCGCCATGGGTGATGAAGCAAACAGCTGTATGGATTGTAGCATATATAACACATGGTGTGGGAAAATGATAGCTTTATGTGCATGTATAAGTCATTTTCAGCTGCAACGAAACTGTATGAGGAATATTTGAAAAACAAGCCTTGTGACACGAGGCACATTATTCTCTCTGCTGAACAGTTGGTTTGAGATCATGAGGTCGCATGGTGCAGTAGCATAATACGTTTATGGGCATGTATATGTCATTTTTAGCTGCAAAAAAAAACTGTACAAGAGGAATATTTCAAAAACAAGCCTTGTGACACGAGGCACACTATTCTCTCTGCTGCATAGTTGGTTTGACATCATAAGGTCACATGGTGCAGGGAGCATAATAGTTTCATGTGCATGTACACGTCATTTTTATTTGTAAAAAAAATCACTATGAATATTTGAAAAACAAGCCTTGTGACATATGAAGAACGTTATTCTCGATACTGCACAGGCGGTTCAACATAATTTACTGAAATTGTTGAAGCGCATAATAAGTATTTTGAATGTCAAACGGATGTTGAATATTAAACTTTCCGCCGGTGTTTAAATTTTAGTTGAATACACCTGCCGTACGCGAACTACATTAGTTCTCATTGTATCTCGTCTCTGGCAAACATTTTCGTCTTGTTTTTATTCGTTGGCGAAGTGTCAATACACTTCGTCATAGTCTTAGGCCTCGCGAAATCGTTTTTATTTACTTATCGTCTCGTTTTAGTCTGAAAATAAAGGTCGTCGACGATAACGAAGACGAAAATTTTTCGTTAACAAAATTAACACTGCACGCAGAAAACAAGCCCAGTGTTTATTACTATTATCATGCATATAGGCCTATTGGTCTATTCGGAAAACTAATGTAACAAAAGTACTGCGTAAGTAAGAATTCTTGCACCAAACAGCTTACAGAGAAACACTGAGACACCCGAACAAAGACGTGGCAACATTCTTATGTGGCTATAGTGATTTAAAATTATTAGTTCGTAAGAGTCTTTTAACATTATTTTTACTTGGGCCTTCAGCATGTCATACTTCTAGTCCTGGATTTAAAAATCATGAACTCCTACAAAAGTAACAGATATCATTTTGCTAAAATATTTTCCGTCTTACCTTGAAAACTGAGCAGGAATTCTAAGCAGACAAAAACAGGTGTTGTGCCGAATTCTGCACCCCTGCCGTGAAATGCACCCCCTGTCGGGAGCGCGCACGGCTCTTTTCTTCGATTCGAGGGGAGAAAAGACGTAGTTCAGTCAATCTAATTATGCAACAGAAATACTAAATTTCGCTTGCACATTTAGAAGACCTTTATCACTGTTTCACTTCACGAAGGCTGCATTTAACCCAAATAAAAGTTATAAACTGTGACATGTAGACGATGAGCCCCGAACGAGAACGTAGGTTATTTATTTATCTCGTCATCAGTTTACAAGTTTGTGAACAAGGAAGTCCTTGGCTTTAATAACCAAAGAAAATCACACAATATTATTCCTTATACTTATAAAGTAATTTATTTTTCTCCACAATGAAGACAATGTTCTGGTACAGTGATCTGAAATACCTAAACAAAAAAGATATTTGTCTTTATGACGGCTAACCTGGCAGGAAATTCATTTCCATTCTTCCCTTTAATTCTATCACGAAATGCTGTTAGCAACCGAGATATTTAAAGAAATAGATAACAATTACTGAATTTCATGAATGCCATATCACGTGCAACACATGGGGGGGTTCATTTTACGGCAGCTTAATACCTGTTTCGTATTTAAGAAACTGGCTCAGTAACCGCGTTATTAGTACCTTACAAAGTTCGCACTGTTTATTGATGTTGGTCTATTGTGCAGATTTATCAAAAGCAAATGAGAAGATCAACTGACATGAACATGCAGAGGGGAGCGCGTCCTTATGCATAAGGGAATACGCCCTTTTCAAATCTAGCTGCACTGAAACTAAATTTGTGAAGCTTGCTCAGTTAACAACTTTAGGTCCACTGTGTGTATTATAAAAAAAATATGATCTGATCATCTAAGACAAAAAGGCAGGGGGGTGCCATTCCCGGCAGGAGGGATTGGTATGGAAGGTTAATTAAGTGGTGACACCTGGGTTGTTACGGATGTGGGATTAAAAGAGGGAGAGCCGCGCTGAACAGGAGATTGCTTATTAGGTACAGCACTCGTTGGTGCTGGGAGGGAGGTGCCGCTCGTATGCCGTTTAGGGCTGCCGGTGTTCTGACGAGTTGAGCTACTTTGTCGAGTTGGGCTACCGTAGCGCTAATCGATAGCCGAGTCTGACGAGTTGAGCTGCTTTGTCGAGTTAGGCTACCGTAGCGCTAATCGATAGCCGAATCCGTCGATTCGAGGTATAACGTATTACGGCATCTTTATTTATGCGTTTTAATTATTAATATATTATTGACATGTAAAAAATGTTAACATATAAAACTGTACTTAATAATATAGGGTAGCCAGTGTGCTTCCAGTATAAAATGACATAAGGAGAGCCTATTTGGATACATTATTTTAACACCAACACTTAATAATTTAGGGTAGCCTATCTCGATAGGCAAGTATGTAGGAATGAGGGGAGCCTGTTCGGATATATTAACACTGGACACTTAATATAGCGTAGCCTACCTCGATAGGCCAGTTTGCAATGCGATTGGAACCCCATTTCACATGTAAAAAGTCACTTAATAAGAACAGACTGTATCACTTAAGACATAATTTAATTTTTATCACAATTATAAACAAAATAAATGTTTATAATATGCACGTCTGGGTATGGAGCACGTGTTCATACGGACTAGCTCATAAATGGAGCATCAACATACGCTCATATGCCATTACACTGTACACTGAAGACAGATTGTATATGCACAAAAGTGCATGTGTATAAGCTGAAAGTAAAAATTTAAAAAGTTTTTAAAATATTACTCACCGCAAATCAGTGCGTGAAAGTAACAATTAAGAGAGTTTTTAAAATATTATTCACCTTAAACCAGTGCGTCCAACGCAAGGTAGCTCAGATTTATGGGCGTGGTTATGAATCCCACGACGGTGGAACTGCACATGCGCAGAAAGGCTGGATAGCCCGTCTCGATAGGCCTGTTGTGAAGCCAGATAGCGGGCTGCAGGGGCAGGTTCCGGTGTGGTAGGGAGAGGAGAGTTGAGTAAGCAGCGTAGCCCGCTAGGAGTCGGGGCGGGACTATAGAGGTTGTACTGGTTCCGTGACGCTTGCCTGTGCCCGAAGTGTGGGGATTACTGAGTACTGCAGTGCTATTGGTGTGCCGTGCCCTAATAGGGATGTGGTGTGGTGTGGGATTTGTGTGGTAACGTGGGTTAACACACGTTTGGAAGGGTTGGTTTGCTACGGGGAGATAGCGGGGCCGGACCCTCTGTGAACCCAGACCCG